CCCTCCATCCCTGCCTTCATCCCTGCCTCCCTCCCTCTGTCCCTTCATCTCTCCCTCCCTCCTTCCATCCCTTCATCCATCCAGCCTTCTGGCCCTTCTGTGGACACACACACTCACGGTTTTGGCGGAGGCGGCCGCCACCCAGAGAAACTCCCCACTGGCTTCCAACAGACTGAAGATTGTTCTCCAGGTAAGGATGGCAGAGGTGCCAAGGCAGCTGCGGGGAGGAGGGGGCAGGGGAGCCTGCAGTCACCTCTGCCCTTCCACCACCCAGAACCTGGAGGTCTGCTTCCATGCCGAGGGCTGTGGCCTGCCACCTGAAGCCTTGCACACTGCCACCTTCCAGGTGAGCTGCACCCACAGGGACGTCTGCCTCTCCATGCTCACCTCTCTGAGCACCGGCTACATGCCTTGCAAGGAGGGGCCAGTGCAAAATGAGAATGTGGGGCCCAGTTAAAAAAAATCACTAAGGATTTCAAGACCGGCGCCCACTCGAGTGAATTCCAGCTCACAGCCACCCTGTACAAGAGAGTAGACAGAGCTCCCCATCGGGTTCCAAAACTACACTCTTGAAAAACATTGCAGTTTTTCTCCTGCAAAGTAGCTGGTGGTTTTCAACCTCCAGCCTTTCCCTTACCAGCCAAGTGTCGAGTATGAAGCCTGTCTAGGCCCAGGACCTGGTGCTGCCTACACCACATGCCCACAGAGCCGGTCCTGCTGGGCCCCAGGCAGTCTGGGCTCCCTGAGGCCCAGAGGTTTCTAGATCGAGCTGGCCTCTCTCCCTTGGGTACGGGCACCTAAATTTCAGCAGTGACTTCCGATGCCCTTCCCCAGGCCCTGAGCAGGGACCTGACACTACAGGAGGCCTCCAGCCGGCAGCTTATCCAGAAGTATTTCTGCAGCCGCCTGGAGCAGCAGGTGAGGCATCCCTTCGCCCCACATTGGGAAGAGGCCCCACAGAACCCTGCATTGGCCCAGCCCACACTCCCCCTGATTCCCCGCTGCAGGCAGGAACCCCCTCTGAGGAGCTGGGAGTGGTCACCCTCAAGGCTTCCTACCTCACCTCTGAGCAGAAGCTGCGTGTTGAGCTGCTCAGCGCCTCTGGCCTGCTGCCCCTAGACTCCAACGGTGAGTGGGGTCTGCCAGCCGGCCACTCCGACCCAGTGTCCTCACACTGGCCCTGCGCCCCCAGTGCCCCATAGGTGTGGCTGCCCTCTCCCCATAGCTGGACCACTGGGTGTATTTCCCTCGTTACCAGGAGGGGTTAGCACTGTGGAGGCTCAGGGCCACTGCCAACCATCCCTCCCTTGGGCCCGTGCCAGGCTCCAGCGACCCCTTTGTGCAGCTGACCTTGGAGCCTAGGCACCTGTTCCCCGAGCTGGCCCCGCGGGAGACCCAGAAGCACAAGAAAGATCTTCACCCGCTGTTTGATGAGACCTTTGAGTTGTGAGTAGCTCTGCTCTAGACCCTCCCTCTTTTCTCAGCCCCCTCCCATGTCCCCTGCCTCCTGCACCCATGACAGTCACATTTGCACACCAGGGAGGGGGCACCAGGGACAACAGTTCCACAAACCTGCTCCTGGGAGGTCAGGTGGGACTACTGGGTAGGGGTGACTCCTGGGAAAGGTCCTGTCTGTGAGCTCTTCTCTCTTCCCTGCCACACCCCGAGACAGGCAGTCTGGGGTATGCAGGACCCCCTGCAGGCTCCTGGTCAGAGTGGGCGTCAGATTGCCTGAGAATGGCATCTGAGAGGGCTGCTTCCTCCCAACCTGGCCTGTCCCCAACTGTTGGGAGGGGTGGCAGTGACAGTTAGCATGACAGTGGAGCCCACCTGTCCCTCTGCCCAGTCTGGTGCCTGCAGAACCATGCCAAAAGGAAGGGGCTTGCCTCCTGCTCACCGTGCTGGACCACGACACGCTGGGGGCTGACGACCTGGAAGGCGAGGCTTTCCTACCCCTGCACTCCGTGCCTGGCCTGCCTGGGGACGAGGGGCCTGGCGAGGTGCCCCAGACCCGCCTGCCCCTCACCTACCCTGCACCCAATGGTAGGCCAGTCCCTGGGACAAGGGAAGGGGAGGGCCCAGACCAGGGTACAGAGTACCCCTGACCGGACAGTCAGGGCCAGAGGAGGCCTCCTTGGGGTGGGTCAGGAACCATCGTGGCACCTTGTCTGTCATTGTCCTTGAGGCAAGAGACGTTGAGATTTAAGCCAGGTGTAATGTGACTCCTCTGGCCAGGGCACAGCTCTGAGTCTCTGATCAGGGCATGTCACTGGCCGGCGGACCCAGGCAGGATGACAGTAAGAGTTCATCTTTGGCCCTCGTCATGACCCAGTTCCAAGCCCTGGACTGATTCTGTTCTCACAAGATCGCAACCAGGGAGGTATTATCTCCATTTTACAGATGCATAAACTGAGGCACAAGGGCTTAGCTAACTCACCTGAGGACCTCATAAAAATGTGAGTCACAATTACAGTCCTGTCACCACCTCTGGCCCCTAAACTGGGCCCAGGCCAACACTGGTGCCAGAGGACAGGAGGCTTTCCAGCCTTGTCTTATGACCTTGGCAGGTAGGCTGAGGCTACCTGGGAAGTCAAGTCAGCTGGGGGTGGGCAGTTCTGGCCTGGGGGTGCTCCTGTGAGTCTGCAGCCCCAACCCCTCTCCTCATAGGGGACCCAATCCTGCAGCTGCTGGAGAACCGCAAAGGGGACCGTGAGGCCCAGGCCTTCGTCAGGCTACGGAGACAGAGGGCCAAGCAGGCCGCACAGCACTTGCCGAGGCCAGGGCGGTAGCGGCTGGTGGGCTCCCCATGAGGCCTAGGACTCTGGCAAGCCCCCACCTGGGTCCTGCAGGGCTGGGAGCCCAGCCCAAAGTGTAGCTCCCCCTCCTGAACAGGGTCCCAGAGACAGGCAGCCAAGTGAGGTTCATCCTCTCTCCTGGGCTGGGAGGTGGCGCCGCAGGCAGCTGTGTGCACTCCCCTACAGCCCTTCCCCCTCCTGGAAAAGATGCCATAACCCAGTGGGTCTGACCCAGAGCCTCCTGCAGAGGGGGAGCTGCAGCTGCCTGAGGTAGGGCCACTCCTAGGTGGTGGCATCACCAAGGCATTGCGCTCACCTGGGCTGAGGAGCCAAAGGCAGTGGCTGGTACGCCCACACATGGCACAACTCAAGGGCTGGCTAGCTGTCTGCAGAGGCCACCTCTTCCCCAGACAGCACTTGCCCGCAAAACAGATCAGCTGATCATCTATTTGTAAATTAATCCACAAATAAAATAATAAAAAGCCACTGACCATCTGCTGATAATGGAAAAGTCCAAAAATGGACAGTGGAAAATCTGGAAATGAATACTAACGTTGCTGAACTCTGTTGAAACAGCAAAAGTCCTGTTCTACAGGCAGCCCCGTCTCTGAGTTGGTCAGTCCCAAGCCTGTCTTGAAACCCAATTGCTAAGTAAGCTGGAACAGATCTGGCAGCTAACGTTCTTCTTAACGTGGTGTAGCTTTCCATGCATGACAAATGTACAGAAACACTTGCAGATACATTCTCTTTAATGCAGGAATGCTCATGCTTTGGTGCACTCTGAGAAATAGCACTCCTCTGCTATCTACAAACCATTGTATGTATGTTCCTCCAGTTTTTAAGAGGGTTTACAGGAGCTGGCTCAGGTCAAATACTCCTAACTGGGGATGGCCAGTGTTTAACATACACAGTCCACCCTCTTCTAGAACACACCGCTGAGGCCAAGCAGCCCCCTCTCAGCCTTCAGGAGACCTTCTGTAGATGTAACAATCTCCTGACTTCACTTAGCTGGAGTAGCATCAATTCTAGGAGCTACTACCTTTAGTTGGGCCTGGTCCAACCCTGGTGCCTCAAATCACAAAGCAGCAAGGTAGAGGTGGGGAGACTGCTGAGTAAGTAAGTGGGCTAACTGGCTGCCCTGATGCTGTGGTCTCCAAGGCAGTCAGGCAGGTACAGCAGGCTGAGTGGGTTTCTGACACTCCAGGGGTGCTATACTGCAGTTGGGGTGTAGCAGGTCAAGGCCAAGAGGTTGCTCTAGACAGAGGGTCTCCCAGGAGTCTGGGGGAGGTGGCCCGTGTACTGACCAGGAAGACCCCATATCCCATTAGCCCTAGCTCAGAGTGTGGCCCCCTCACTTCCAGAGCAGGGGCTCTGAGGGCTGCAGGGGTACTCATCAGTCAGGGCAGGAGGGGTGGGGAAAGGAGCACTCCTCTGGCCCCTGGCCTTCTCATCCTGCAGAGCTATGGACATCACCCCAGAGAAGTCACTAGGAATCTCTGATCCTCGGGGAACAGTCTGGGTCCTGCTGCTTTTGGTGAAGTATCCAACTGGAGATCGTGGCCCTAGGCAGAGTCCCAGGCCTGGGCTGTGACAGCCCCTCCGTCCGCATTCCCCAGGCACTGGTGGAGGCCCATTCCACCCCCCCATCCCTCCGCCCCCGAAGCCTGGCCTCAGAGTTTCTGAGGCGGCAGGCGGTAAGGCCCAGCAACACAGAAAAGAGCTCAGAGGCCCTTCTCCCGTCCTTTCCCAATCCCATGGAAAAAGCTACCACAGCAAGTTCATATTTTATTTCCAATAGGCTTAGAGCTTTGTTGATTTTTGCATTTTTTCGTAAAAAAAGAGAAAGTTTTCACTTAATTCATTGAAAGCCCTTTCGTGCTGAGCCCAAAGGGGGGGGGGCCTAGGTTGGGATCAGACCCTTCCCAGCCCCTTTGCCCCAGACACCAGTGCTGGGAGCGAGGCCACCACTTCCTCCCGCCCCGCCCTCCCGCCCACGGCACCTCTCTGTACATGACAATTTAAAAAGGGAAGCTAAGACACAATATACAGTGGACAGGCACGCACACACATGCACACAGGCGTCCGGCCCGGGCCAGGCGGGACGTCAGCTGCACTCGGAGCACCACGGAAAGCCCTGGAGCCTTCCTGCCGGGCGGGGCGGGACCCCACTTGGTCCTCACAGGCCGCAGCCCCTCCCACCAATTGCCCTGCTAGCTGCCAGAGGGAGGGTGCGGACAGCAGGTGGAGGGCTGTGCCAGGAGGGGGGACAGGCCAGTGCGGGGGGGGGGGGGG